AATTTCTAAAGGCATATGCACGGTTTAAAACAATACTCTTTTTTATTTTGTTTGCGAGTGCACAGATATTTTGATAGCGAAACAGTCAGAAAATATCTGAACGATTTTAGACTCTCTAAAAATTTTTGCTTTTTTATCCGTTAACTGCTATCAAACCAAAAATGTTAAAAGGTTATTTCATTAAATAAACTGTACTGAACTAACGATATAATAAATCATATAACTACTACTATTTGATGTTAACAATACAATAGACTAGTTATAGAAATCCTAAAGCATTCTCGATTGTATCCGAAAGAAAAACTTACCTATAAATAAGTGTTTCTGAAGTGTAAATCTTTTTATGGCACAACGTTATCCCTCTCTTTGAAATGTTTTGATAAAGAAATCCCATTAGATAAAGGTTCCATTACCAAAAGTCCGTTATGATCGGATAACTATTTCCGGATATCGAGGCTTTTGTGACACTTCAACTCAACCAAAACTTTATAGTTAGAATTATATTGGTATACTACTACTACTACTACTCAGCCATGAGACGCCCACTACTGGGCATAGGCCTCCCCCAAAGATCGCCACGATGACCGATCTTGTGCCACCCGCATCCAGGACGCTCCCGCAACCTTGACCAGGTTATTGGTATAATAATTATTATAATATCAATATAATCCTAATTATTTGAAATGGTGTAAAATATTATATTTCGAGCTTGCAACTTATTCTCTGGTATAAATAAATTGCAAACTTAAGTTTAAATTATTGTCCATATTATTATTTTAAACTTAAGAGAGAAATAAAAGGACACAGAGAAAGAGACAACGAGAAATAGAGACTGAGAGTGTGAGAAAATATACGGAAATACCTTGTGTTCTTGACGTATTATCCTTCATGGAAGAAAACTTATACATCAATAATTCTTCACTTATATTGTGCAGGAAATTATGATGCTAAAATTAAAATATTCCATTACTTGTTATTCTTCTATGTGTTAGTGGTCGTTTGAAATACAGTCGGTCTCAACTTCACTGTGTAATTTTAAATCAGTGCTAAGAGCGCGTAATTTGGCGCCAAGCCAGCTGCCACTGGTGAACGAACTGCGGCCGGAGCATTCGTCACTTCGCGTTAAATTGATCGCCATTGTCGTAAACATTCTGTTTTCTTAATAGACTGTAATTTTAAATAGCTCAAGTTGTATTGTTAAGAAAATATATTCAATAACATACTGACGGAATACGTACATTAATCTTATCAGAACTAATGTCTTGAAATCTGATTCAACTTAGTTTGTGAAAAATTATCTTATTATTAGCTGTAATCCGCAACTCCATCAGCAAGGAATTATAAAAAAACCTATGTGTCCTTGCAGACTACAATGTATTTATATCTCTACCAAATTTCAGCGGAGATTCAGATTCAGATCCATGGTGCCGTTCTGGTGATTAGCAAACATCCATTAATCCAAACATTCGCAATTATAATACAAAGAAGATAAAGTGTTCATAGACTACTTCTAAAAATGTCTCCCGAATGTTTAATTTAATAAATTATTGTATATCTTGTATTTTAATGACATTAGCATTCGCAATCAGTGTTCGATGATTACACTAGGAGCCACTTTGTATAGATTTCGTTTGAAAAATAAGTCTTGTACCTTCAGGATTTATTTATTTAAACTTGAATTTTCAAATTGACACTTTTATAAATAAGACCTTAACTTAATCCGCGAATACAAGAACAATAAATGATATAAGATTACAGGAACAATCTTTCATATTTTAATTTATTATTCGCCAGCAGTCGGTGTAATAAATAGTACAAGCTAACGTACCACACTAATAAATATATATGAGGTATAAGGCCTCAGGAAGGCAGTGGATAAACATTGTACGTCACGTCTTATATTGTTATTTACTGCCGCGTATTACTCTGCTTCTTTCATATAAACGGACAGCTCTGGATAGTGGCTTCACAGCTTTTTAAATAAAATGGGATCGCTTGGACAGCAACAATAAATTGCCAACTTATTTTACTTCTTACTAATATTAAAGAAGTGAATGTTTGGATAGATGGATCTTTGTTAGAAGGTATCTCCAGGATACAAGGATTTGCTGAAATTTGTCATGAAGAACATAGTCTAGACGAGCTCATAGACTATTTTTTTAATAACGCGCGGACGGAACTGCGGGCGTAAGCTAGTGTAGTAATAACGTCATGATTTTTTTGATATGAATTATTGAATAATATATGAAATAATCATAACTTTATCTGGAATATTGTGCCCATTATGTTAAAAACTTGAAACCAAAAAACCCGTTTATAACATATTGTTATCTCTGTTTTGTCAAAGATAAAATACAGGGATAACAATATATTTTACACAGAGATTTTAGTGTCAGAAACCCACGGTTACAAGTTTATGATAAGTTGTAGAATAACAGAAACTTTAAAAACATATATTTTTTATATTATTAGTAAGATAAGAAAATCATTTTTATTAATTATTTACATCCTAATACATATATATACTTATAATACATAAACTCTTAAATCTATGATATAAAATAAAATTTAAAAAAAAAACCGAATAATTAACTAAAATATGTTAATAAAAGGAGTCCCTTTAGGCAAGGTCCCGAAGATACTGGCAGCGTTCCCCCTCTGTACAGCTAAACTAATTCTTTGACCGAGGTAGCTGCCAGCTCTTCGGTAAACTTTAAAAGTATATAAAATTCACATTCAAACTTTTGTTAGTTAAACTACCTCCATTATAAAGTGTTTATAATTGTCATAACAATTTTTGTACTAGAAGTATATAAATACCATTTAACACAATTAAAGAAATAATCATACTTTTTAATTCAAACGCAAATCTATTAAAAAAAATTTAAAGCCAAATTATATAATATATTTTAGTTACTCAGAAAAAGCTTATTCTTTAATAATTATATTCTGCAGATATTTTTAACGAGAAACAACACTAACACTTCAGAACGACTTTATTAAAATTTTGGTGAAATTTTCTTTTCTAACTTTTTTGTGTACTTATTCCGTGAAAGCAACTTGCCGAGAAAAAATATAAAAGGCGCAACCAACAAAAACCCATCGCATAATATAACCTTAGTTTAATTAAAGCGAGAAAGCGACCGGCTTTTCACTGCGTACTAAATAATAACTTAGAGAAAATTAAATTGTAGAAGCCAATTTTTACACAAGCTTCGCCTTTATGTTTTGAATTGTGGATACTCCAAGTATGTCTAACGAGTGCTCGTTAAAAGAGTCTAGGTCGAATATAGTAGCCGAGAGCAGGGTACAACTTTGTATGCGAAATACATATGTTTGCTTTTAATGTTCAAATATTATTAAAATTATTAACCATGCTCAAAATGTTCTTACGATGATTTGAAGGTCAGCATTTTTAGTGTTTAACAAATAATTTCGAATTCAATTATTTGTCATTCCTTCTATAGAAGAAATGTACATATACGAGGCATGTATTTATTTAAATACCTCCTCCTTATCGCTCTTCGACATTTTGTTTACTTCAATTAAATATTATCCTTACAATTTGAACAAAAAAAAATTATAAAAAATGTGCTATATATAGTTTAACTTGGATATTATAATATTTATGAGTCAACCCACCTTTCAGTAGGGCATTCATTATAAGAGCGTATTAGAGCGTAGCCCGCAACGCGACTTTACTCTACGTTTGCGGACTTTACATACCTTTGATCATTATTATCTTGGAAATGCGGTCTCTTACTGCGTACCTCACAGTTATAACTGCAAGGACTATAACAATTTATAGTAATCCATTTAAATATTTTTACTTGACTTTTCGATTCCTATTAAAACGCAAGATATTACATTTAAAAGTGTAAAATGGACAGTCAGCTGCATAAACGTGTATACATTTCAAAGCTTTACAAAGTTACATAGGGCGTCATTTGAAAATATTTATGCACATATTCGTCAAGAATATGTACTCGTGGATGGAACCATAGGGACCTATTCGTGCATACATATTTTTAAAACCAAAAGCGCATACATATTTTTGTATATGTATACATATTTATGCAGCTGACTGTACTTATATATTTACATTTCATAAGGTAAACCATATTTACTGAAATGATACAGCTTATTTTATCAAGTGAACCAAAAGATATCGGAAACAATAAATAGCATTAACCTCTAATTCTTGTTGATAAAATTCTTGTTAAAAGTTATTGGAAGGATTAGAAAGCATCGCTTTTTTTTCCTAAAAAAAAGTATATTTTATTTAAAGTATTTATATTATTTCACAAGATAATAATATATTCTAATATGTATGTGACAACAATAGACAATATACAGAATCTCGTATGAATAAATTTCTATATATGAGCGATGCTTTTTGCTCCCAATTTTATTGGAATATTTGGAATAGCTCTCTGAATGTGGCCGGTCAGTTGACGCCGAAATATGTGCTCCGGCGAAGAGTTGTTGCTTTGTGTACGCACATATATCAAGTAGTACTATGCCTACATTTAAATACCAAACATATTTAACCAGTCTTTGTTATGTTTCCTTTTTATTTTTTCAAATTTTTCTACATTGCCTACTGTTTTAAAACAGAACAGAAATTAATTTTAAAATAAATTGCGAAGTTAATATTAAAATATTACTTAAATTTTATCGCCATAAAAGCCATTAAAAAATTAACATCTAAGACCGTTATTTATAATCAAACCGGCTTCGTTTATTTCGTAATAATTTTTTTAACTTTCGCTATAAAAAAATGCAATAGTTTATGTAGTAAGTTTTAAACCAAGTACAAGTTAACTGCTTTATCATTTCACTTACACACAATATTTCGTAAATAATCTTGCCTTATTTATTGCTTAAATACTTTACAACGCGTTTATATGCGACAGTAACCCTCTCCGAATTTTTACAACTGTAAATATATCGCCACAAAATATAAAAATTCCGTACTTTTTTTAAGTATTAATTTCTACTTACCATAAAATTAAACACTTTCAAGTCTATGGAATCCTACTTTTTTCACTAAAGCACGCCAAAACTTCACAAAAACATTTCGTATACTGGAATGATAAACTTCATATTGAATTAAATGTGTACGCTCGGAACCTCTACGACGCGTAGAGCTACGCCACACGTGCGACTCTCGTAGACGCGTACATACACTGAAGTACAACCGCTACGTACGAATAGACCGAAACCGGCCGAGTTTACCCGAAACATTCCGAGATGTAAGCCGTGATTGATGTCAAATGAAATATGAAGAATAGTTACAGGACGATGGTTTTTTTGTTTCTAGGATTACGCTTTTAGCTTTTGTCAAAAACCTTTGAGCATAATAAAGATTTATAATCCCCTCAAAGCTTACTGTGTACTCACGTTGACAACTTATGCTCTTTATATTTCGGTATAATTCATATTTTGTTTTATATGCCTTTTTTAAGAAGTATTTAGTACTATTATCTTTGAATGAGCAAAAATTACTGTTGAAAAATATGAGCGCTTAAAGTTAGTCTCAATGTAATTAAAAATCTACAGCGTAGTTTTCTTTTGTTTATATCTATTTAAAATCAAACTTTAAGAATAACTTTTGAAGTTCATTTCAAATTCCTTGAAACAGTAACCATATTAAAATAGGGAATTAATTAACGTTATTATAATTAAGTATTCTCGATTGACAAATAAATAAATTAAATTTTAAAAATAACGTTATTGAATAAAATCTTTAATTATACATTAACATGTCTATATATAATAATATAAGAGTACGTTTCCACTAACTAAATATTCATATGCATTTCGTAATATTATAATTATTTTGTTATATAAAATGTTAGATTTATTTGATTATATTCATTAAGCTTCGGCATTATTTCGGTGAGCGGATCGGTAAAGGGCTTTCATGTCATTTGTGTTCATTAGATAGTGTCCAATAATGGAAATGGCTATGGGGTTTTGGAATAGCTGCCGAAATGGCTCGCCGCTCTCTACTGCATAACGTGTAAGGTAAATTTCATTTTATTATATATATAATTCCATATGAAATATTGCTCGTATAAGATATAATATAATAATAGTTAATTATCCTTACTGATTTTATAAATGAGAATGTTAAGTTAAGAGATAATACGGGCAACTTATAGGAAACTTCGTGGAAAACATCAAGTATTATTATGATTTTAAGTTTTATTTTTTAAATCAATAAATATGCTTCATAACCTATTCTTGTTTCCTAGATTTACCTAGTCTTGTTCAAATCCTTGTCTATTTCGTAGTTCTTTTACATTTTATAAGCTACGGAGTAAATGAACTCATAAGTGCTCCAGATATAACTATAAAAAGGATATATTTCGATTGTACATAAAGCTGAAGAGCGCACCTAACGACATAAACCTGAATCGGGGACGACGGATAATGTCCAAGTCTCTGCACATCTAACAATTATGGCCCCAGAATACGGCGCACCGCAATCGAACAGACATTTTATTGCATTCAATTTTATTTTATATCCTTTTCATTCCTGTATCGATTATACGAATCGATCTTATTTAATGCATCGAATAAATCGACTACATCAAATGTCAGTTAAAGAAATACTATCGAATAAGTTCCGGAAATGTTGTGTTCTTTGATGTTAAATGCTACTATTAATTTTCTTGTTATAAAATTAAATCGTAAGAACAAAAGACAACTTTTTAATGTAACTTTAAGTCTCAAGTCTTTAAATTCAAAATTATAAAGGCTTCATAGAATTAAACAACATAAGTATCATGAAAAACAAATACCTGATAAATATCATACATAGTTTAAAAGAGTGGCTTATTTACATGGATCATAAAATGGATACATTAACTTAAGAAATTCTTTAAGTTTATCTAAGCTTAATGACATGTTGGCGAAATGCCAACGAAAACTTTACCTTCCTTGCAACAATTTTATGTTCATCAAATTAACACTTCGTCAGAAAATGGGAAATCTTCAAAATATTAAATTAGTTGACATTTACTCAAGCACTTTCTTTATTGTATATTGCACATAATTGTGTGACGTAAATAATGAATAAGATCATTCAATAATCATAAACCAAGCTATGAACCTTTCTCTGTTCGTTCATATATGAGTTACTGTATTATTATTACGTATAAATACTGAATGTTAAGACATATCAAGACATAATTGTAAAATTTGTCAAAAAATTCCAAACAAACCAAACAAATCACAGGATCAATTTAAAATAAACTCTACTTTCCCAAAGTAACATAAATAAACCTTATCGCTTATCTAAGATACAAACTCATTCGTAACTCTAAAATTACACTGATCCTTTAATCAATACGTAAGTATCTGTATTTTAAACTTTATTTTTCATTAGTAATATGTTCAAAATAATTAATTAATTGAAGCGCCATTAACCTAATGATTAAGGGCACGGATTTCCGATCACGAGGTCGGGGGTTCGGATCCCGCCATTCGACTATTGTGTTAAATCATATCCTAGCACAAGCTTAGAGCTTATTTGGAATAGTACAAGAAATATTAGTAAATTTACACAAAATGTGCTAATATTTTTTTTAAATAAAAATAAAAATCATAAAACAATAATGTTCAAAAGGAACTACTAATAGAAGTAATATAAATCGAATTTAACTTACCATTTTGAGATTTATTGTAACGCCTTGTTGTGTAGCCTGCACTGGTGCTGCCATCTCTAAACGAACTACCTGCGTGGTGAAACATTTAAACTATTTATAAACACACTTCAATCAATACACTACACTAATTAATCTTACACTATTCATTTTTCTTTAATTTTTTTATTTTAAAACCATATCCCGATCACTACTATCCAACGAATGTGTCGACGAAATTTTCGTAGTGAGCTTGGCCTAGATGCGTTATTTTTGTGTCAGCTTTGCTCACTGTTTATACACATTAATATCAATATTTCACTATGTGGATTTGCACACTTGTGTAATGTTTTAAAAATACATTTTAGATATACGATTGATTTACTAAGATCAGTAGTTTATTCAATAGTTTATTGGTCTCGGTTTGTTTGGTTCACGTTTTGTGTGTAATATTTTTTATTGTAAGAAAGAAGTTTTACGTTGCAGTGTTTCTAATGTTCAATATCCACGGTAAACAATTTCAAATTTGTTTTAAATGTATGTAGACTCTTAAAATATAAAAAAGTGGTATGTAATAACTCTTACTATGGATTATTCTCAATACAAATTTCAACTAAACCTTGAAAAGTAATCAATAAAGTACTGAAATTAAGAGTTTTGAGTCTTGAGGTAATTATCTCGCTTACCAGTTCAATCATTTTACTCATAAACATTTAAATTATGTATTATCGTTTTACGATCACAAATCTCATTTCATGTGACCTTAAAATTTCTTATCATAATCCAATCGCAATAACTTCAAAGCTCCGTCGTTTTAACGTTTTAATACTCAGTTGGCTTTTTCAATTATTGGATCAGTCTTTCATTATTTTAGAGCCGAATTGAGTATACAATATATCACTTATAGACACATATAACCAAACCAAAAAATTACATGAAATTTTTTAAAATTGCACGTTTGGTTAAAAATATTTTTATTAAAATGTAAATGCGTAGGCTCCCGAAATGCAATCTTGACAAATAAATAACAAAGTGCTTATACCGGGAGCAGTCACAACATATTTAAGGGTATATAAATCTTTAATAACCTCGCCGATGTCCATAATGGTAATTTTAAAGGTAGGCAACGCATATGCAATTGCGTATGTCTATGGCCAACAGTCACTTCGCTATTTCAGCGATTTCAGGTGGCCGCTCGCTCGTTTGCCACCTTATGATATTGGCGGTCAAAGGGTTAAAACATCTGTTTCACTAAACAGTGTCAATATATTTTTTGGAGTAACACAGTAAATATTTATTTGGTTGCATCCAAGAACCTAATTTGAAATATAACCGTAAAGGTAAGATGTTATTTAATTCTATAAGCAAATCTGAACAGAAACGAAACTAAGTTAGATGATAGAATTCACCAGAACTCAATTTGACGTCCAAGCGGTTGCCGACGAAACTTTGTACTTTCATATCTCTATTTATACTATGTTATATGAAGTTTTCCAAATATTTAATGTTTATTTGTATATGTATAAAGACATGCTTATAATAAAAAAAACAGTTCTTAGAAAAAAAATGTTGCCTTAACCTTTTCTTTTCACGCATGTTAAAACAATACGTAACTTTTTTTAATTGATGAGGAAAAACATGACTTTAATACCATAGTAAAATAAAATAAATGATAGGATTTGCCTTTTACATCTCAAATGTTTTTGTTTTTTTTTTCAGTTTTTAATTTAGATTTCAAACAGAAATGCTAACTTATCTTAACAACGCAAACTTTTTTTACTTTGAATTGAGGTAGATATTTGTTAAATACAGTAATTTTTCTGGACAAAGAAAGCCGACTCTCTCGTAAAAAAGATAACAGTATTATTACAATGAAAGTAATCTTGCTTGAGGTAACAAAGATAGACAGTCTGTTTGTTTTTAGGATATTTTTTTTCTTCAAAGGTTAGGAAATAAAAATAATATGTTAATACATATATGTGTTGTCACAATGGCATAAATAACGTATTTTGTGTTTAAAATATCAATTATATGTTGCCACGTAAACACAATAACCTTTCATGGCGTCTTCAGTGACGTCACACTGTGTCGTATATCAATAGAGTTTTGTGGTACTGAATTCTAATCTATGAAAATATCAACAATGATAATGGCGCTGTCTACAGTGTGTCGTCACGCTTTCAAATTCGTGTTTCTTATCACGTTACTGACTATGAAATTTGGAAGGTGTTAATTTCTAAAAATAATATTAACCTAAATTTATTTAAATAATTACTGTTTTTCATCTTTGTTACACAGTTCATCATAAGAAACTAAATTTCATCCGAATTAGTCACCTAGTACACAAGACCTTATCCAAAATACATTTGTTACATTACTATTATAGATTAAGAGAATTTGGTAAAGTAAGAGAGAATGGAGGTGATAATATGATGATAAGTTTTAATTTAATTACGTGTGCAAATCCTCGGGCGGGGGATGAAGTAAGTTAGTTGGTAAATGTGAGGATAAAATCCAACGCCA